GTGATAGCTTTGGGGAATAAAACTAGTATCTCAAAATTCCAACAAGTGTAAAATTCCAATGGTGCATATAGGTCCACTTACTAATTTAGAGTCCTGATGTATCCTCTGTATCCAGAGAAAGCTTTTGAGGAAAAGATGGAGGCAAGTTAAAGACAAGCTGTAATCTTGTATGCCAAGTGCATGTTAAACTATGTAGCATGTGGGCCATCTCTGCAGCCTTTTCCCTTCTGTTTCTTTCCTCTCATTCAGACTGCAGTTGAGTGTTGTTGTTTCCTTCATATAGCAGGCAAATTTATATAGCTGTAGGAATAACCAAGGAGGAAAAAAAGTAATAGTTAATGTTGGGGGAGGCACTGCAACTCCTTGTGACACTCAGTTTCATGCTGTCCCTTTTGGTTCAGAAAGCATAAACCATACTGCTAGACTGGGAGGAATAGTTTAGCTTTGAATGAAACATATCAATTACGTGTCCTAAAAAGTGAAAAAAGCAGTTTTGTTGGAGGAGGAGGAGGAGAGGATACTTGGGAAGCAGAGAATGGTGCAAGTATTTTGAAATATGTGGATATTCTTTCTCCTCCTTAAAAGGAAACAATGATTGTAGCTGGTGCTGGGAACGTTTGAAGGGCTGTTACATTAAAATTAAAACAGTTGTGCTTTGTGTCTTGAAGTGTATTTGGGCTTGTTTGGGCTAGTGTAAGCTCTGTCCACCCTGTGCTGTCATGTATGCATCTGCATTTTCTTTGGCTTTCTTAAGCACCAAGTCAAGTTGAGCTTTTCTGTAATTTGTTGTGGTGTGTTATTGCACTGTTAGCCTGTCTTACATGGCTCTAAAAGTGAAAATGTTGTTAACCTCCTGTCACATTAGACTCTTTGAACTCCTTTCTGTTCTCTGCTCCTAGAAGTCAGCAAAACCATGAATCCATTAATGACACAGTTCTGATTATGGGAAGGATCACCTACTTATGTGGTGAAACAAGTGTGTCAAAAAAATGTTCGATGGCTTTTCTGAAACGTAGAGAGTTTCACCAAACTCAGTAAGGATGGAAGCATATATGAGTCCCAAGAGATATTGAATATCATCATTGTCATGTCATTCTGAGGTGCATGGAAGAAGAGGAGAGTGGTAGGATAGGATCATGTTGTTCTATAGATTTCAGATGACCAGAAGTGCCTCCAGAACTATTAATGAGAAAAAATACTTTCATAAAGTCATGTGAGGAGCTCATCCTCATGCTTCTGCACTAGCGTTCTCATCAGAGTGCACCATTGCTTATGTGGAAGCAAGTAACTATTGCGCTCGAATAACTGATCACTTCAGACAGGAACAAATGTTTGGTATTGGGAAGTTGGTTGTTGGGTAAGAGACTAGGGTGATTTCTGAAATAATTTTATGGGGGTGCCTGAAACAAAAGTTGGGTTTGGAGAAATTGCTTGCTTTATTAAAGTGTCATGAGCCATTGCATGTTTCCATAACACATGTTCTCTAAGGAGTGATAAAGTTAGGCAATACCTTATTTACTCCTGGTTCTGAAGTGACCAACAGACGGCAGAGGGAGATCTGTGAACACAAGCAAGGAAGTGTTCCAGTAGTGAGGAGTTCTAGTATATGTACTCAAGGAAACCAGCATCTTCTGCCTTTCTAGTCACACCGTTCCTAGCTTTTGTAGGGGAGAGAGGTTGGAGGTAAGGTGTTATATTTCTTAGGACATGATGAACCCACTTGCATGGCTCATGAAAACTCAACCAGACAGACTTCAGGAACAAAGTGTTCAGTGATGCAGTTAACTGTTGAATGAAGCGGCATAGCATGCACTTGGCTGTCTGAGGACAAGATGGAGAAGCAGCAATTTAGACACTAGTGTGTTAAAAGCTTTGTCTGCAGTTATCGTGTGGTGTACTTTAGACAATGTCTGAGTTATAGCTGAGTGTTTTCATGTAGAGTGGATGCAGTATATTGATGTGTTGTTGAGCAGGTTTGCACAACCACATGGTTCTGTAATTGTGCTTATTCCAGGGATGTGGTGTGAACTGATACCGTGATTGTGCAGATGTTCTTTGAGTAGCTGATTAGGTTCGCCATGAAGCTTCCTGTATTAATTTTCTTATCAGCTCTCCAAGGAAGTCGAGCTTGTGAAGAAGAGTCTGCAATTATATTAGAGTATTAAGTTGTATTTTATTTTATTTTTTTTGTTGGCAGGTAAAGGCCTTTACCTTTATTACTTCATGCTTAATATTTGCTGTAGAAATTTTCACTTCATTTTACATAAAAGTGAATGTTTTTCTGCTATTTTAATAACATTTCCACCCAACGTTGATATGCATCCATCTGCAGTTATCTTAATAACAACAGATGCTGTGCAGCAATATATCAAATTTATAGAACAAATAAACCAAAGATGGTTGAAAATAACAAATGAAGCAAAATAGCTTCCTCTTGCAGTTTTCCAAGTGTACTATGATGTAAATGTGGGACATGAAAAAATGAGTATATTTAAATTAACACGGAACAGAAGATGAGGTGAAAAATTCCCAGAATTCAGTAGATAGCCTCAGCGATACCTCCTCTTTTTTTTCTGGTGTGTACAATTAGTGTTTACTCACCTCAGTTTGTTTTCCATTCCAAATGTGAAGTGTGGTAAGAATTGAAAGTAGAAATTCAAATGTTTGATACTTTTGGAGAAAATAAACAAGTTTTCAACTGTGCAGGACCTTCTTCATTTCTGAAATAGTGTGTAGACCTGAGCTGATCATTATGAAGATCTTGAGGAAGTGGTAGTTCAGTGAAGGTAGCAGTTCTGTTTCAGAAGAGGCTAGGAAGGCAACCGTAGGTAGGTATGATTTAAGGAAGAAACAGAGAAGAAAGAAGAGAATGCCATTATACCACTGCATAAATCTGTGTTTTGCCCACATCTTGAATAACTAGTGGAGTTTTCTTTCCATCTCAAAAAGGTTAGAACAGAACTGTGAAAAGGTCCAAATAAGGGCAATTAAAATGGTCATGCATACAGAAAAGCTGCTGCCTGGGTAACAGCTAAGTAAGCTATGACTCTTTCAGCTAGAGGAAGATATGATTGGGAAGGATATGTTAAAAATCTGTGGAATAATTTTTGATGGATAAGAATCATTTATTTAATGTCCCTTCCAGGACAAGGATTAAGGGCCCTCAGATGGCAAGAGCCAGGACAAGACAGATGAAGGCAAGCGGTTTGTCCATACGGTGTTTGGTTGTGGTGTGGAACTCCTTGCCAATGGATGCTGTGGATGCTATAAGTTTACCTGATCTTAAGAGGAGACTGGATACGTTTACAGTAAAGAAATTAATTGAAAAAAATAAGAATTTGCAGAGTACTAAATACACAGAAACCAAGTTGACTTCAGGAAGTGTTTGAACTAGAAATAAGTGTAGGTTGGGAGAGTATTTGGAAGAGGGGGACAAAATCATATTCATATATAGAGAATCATAGAATGGTTTGGGTTGGAAGGGACCTTTAAAGGGCATCCAGTCCAACCCCTCTGCAATAAGCAGGGACATCTTCAACTAGATCAGGGTGCTCAGAGCCCCATCCAACCTGACCTGCAATGTTGCCAGGGATGGGGTATCTGCCACCTCTCTCTGGGCAACCTGTTCAGTGTTTTCACCACCTTCATTGCAAAAAAAATCTTCTTTGTATCTAGTTTAAATCTACCCTCTTTTAGTTCAAAACCGTTACCCCTTGTCCTGTCGCAACAGGCCTGGCTAAAAACTTTGTCCCCATCTTTCTTATAGGCCCCCTTTAAATACTGAAAGGCCGCAATAAGGTCTCCTCGCAGCCTTCTCTTCTCCAGGCTGAACAACCCCAACTCTCTCAGCCTGGCCTCATAGGAGAGGTGCTCCAGCCCTCGGATCATTTTGGTGGCCCTCCTCTGGACCCACTCCAACAGGTCCATGTCCTTCTTGTGCTGAGGGCTCCAGAGCTGGATGCAGTACTCCAGGTGGGGTCTCACCAGAGCAGAGTAGAGGGGCAGAATCCCCTCCCTCGACCTGCTGGCCACGCTTCTTTTGATGCAGCCCAGGATACGGTTGGCTTTCTGGGCTGCAAGCACACATTGTTGGCTCATGTCCAGCTTTTCATCTACCAGTACCCCCAAGTCCTTCTCCGCAGGGCTGCTCTCAATCCCTTCATCCCCCAGCCTGTATTGATATCGGGGGTTGCCCCATCCCAGGTGCAGGACCTTGCACTTGGCCTTGTTGAACCTCATGAGGTTCACACGGGCCCACTTGTGGATCTTGTCCAGGTCCTTCTGGATGGCATCCTGTCCCTCAGGCTTGTCAATTTTTAATTGATATATATATATATGCTCTGTTCTTTGGCATATACCATTGGCCAGTTTGAGACAGGCTTTAGAACCAGACTCCTGGTCTGTTTCATTGTGGATTTTCCTACACACACATTTTCCCACTTCTGTTCAGGTTTGGAGAACACTTATGATCTAGAAAGCTGATCTGATTGCTTCAGTTATGCCAGTTCATCAAATACAAGATACTACTTCAACTTATAAACCTTGTCCTGCATATGTCCATAGGCCATCACGGTAAAATACAACCAGATAGCTAGTACTGGATGAATATATCAAGTTGATACTTGGTAACAAACTTCATTGGTTACTGAATTGAAGCATGCATGCCAACACTCTGAGGAACAGTCTGTTGGATTTGTATATAAACACTATCCTATTTGCAGACTTCTGCAAAGCTTATTGACTGAAATTTATGTTGAAGGCAATGAAACTATAATATATATATATGTGTGTGTATATCTTTTTAATGTAGGTTTTTTCTGGTTGAATCTTGGCTAGAGGTAGATTTAATCCAGGAAATAAGAAACGTGTTTGCTGTTTTCTGTTTTTAACAGAACAGTTTATTCTCTTTAGCATTGTTTGAATCATTTTAATGACTCATGATAAAATTCATTCTATTTTATTGTTTTTTTTCTAGAACTGAGTTCCTACAAAAAATGTTGGTGGTGCAGATCTGACCTATGGTAATACCTTGAAAGAGTATGAATATTTCAGCAAACTGCCTTTTCAGTGGTTCCTCATTAGCATCTGAAGTGCATGCTGCTGCTGTTAATGGAGATAAGAGTACCCTCCAAAAGCTAATAGCAGGTAAATGTTTTCAGTGTAGATGCATTTTGATTACTTCAGAACTGCAGCTTTTTGGTTTTGACTTACTGCTCTGATCTTTAAGATATGTTTTCATTTCTTGATGATATGCATTACTAGGATAAATGTAGTCCTGAAAATAGGACTGATTCTTCTTACTTTTTATTTTCTGTTGCCTTTGGTACTTCTGTGTGAAGTAAACCAGAAAATTGGTAAGTGATACAACCAGAAGAGTTATGCAGAACTCCTGTTTCAGGGAATTTGAAATTCTGGAGAAGTGCTTTGGGCTGAAATGTTTTGGCCCCAAATTCTTATTTTTTGAGTCATTGCTTTTGTGGGAAATTTGATAAACTTGTTTTTTCAGATCATTTATTATAGTTAATGAAGTCATGTCACAGTATAGTATTTGGGGACAAAATGAGCCAGCCCTGTTTGTTACTTTGATTCTGATACGCTAACGATGTTTCTCAAGACAAATTAAATGGAAGGAGAGAGTCTGGTCCTATTGAAGCTGAACTAAAGAAAAAAAATCCCAGCCAGTAAAAAGCCCAGGATTGCACCTTCCCTCTCTGTCCAAGAACTGTGTGGCATTCCAAGTTAGTAGTTTTCAAAAGCAGTATGTGTTCTGTGTTTCAAAAACAATCTTACATACATTTGGAAGGCTGTCATATGATAGGTGAAGACTGATTTTCAGAGTTTCTGATTAAATGCAATTCCAGCTGATACTGTGGAAGTCTTATTTGCTCAGTGTTTTTTGAAAATCCCATTCCTGGAGCTTGGTGAGGGTGAAGAACTGTGAAACAATAAGAAACTTAGTCTGTATTTATGCCGCTGTCAGTTTTAATGGCTGTATAGGATTTAATGGTAATCACATTAAACCAACCGTCAAGTTTCTTCATGTATCTTCTGCTGACCTATGTTGAAGACAAGGTAGTAAGCTATGTGGATCTATTGTCTTAAGCTGTATAGAAAGCAGTAAATCGTTCTTCTTTACAAGGTATATCTAACTCAAAAGATAATTAGAAGTTATTTAACTCAAATAGGAGAAAAAGTTTGAGGGAACTGACTTTATAGAAGCTCTACTGATTGAAACAAGTATTTTTTGTTGGGCCTTCAGCTTTGTCATATGATGGCTCAAACACACACTGATTGCATTTAATGCTATCTGGTCACCTTTTGTAGAACATTTTATAAACAACATATGAGCAGTTAATATGCAGATGCTTCTAGAAATCTGTGGGATGCAGCTACAAAGTAGCTTTAAATACCAAGTTTTTTTTTTTAAGTTCTCTGCCTGCATATGGAAGGGGGAAAAAAGTCTGAGCTGTCAAATCCTGGCTAACAATTAGAAGTGACAACAAAGAGTTTTTGTTGACTTCAGTATGTTTTTGCTAATCTCAGCAGCCAGAAGATGTATTTTGAAAACACAAGGGAACAAGTACTTCTGTGTTGCTGGTACACCTTGTCAAATATACCACAAAAAAGCCATTAGAACCAGACATGGAAATCACTGTTCTTTTAATGGCAATCATGCAGCAACAAAATAAAAATGCTGTATGTTATTTTTACATGGGAGAAAAAACTGCATAATCCTTGCAGCCTTTGCTATAATAGCAAAATTTGCAAAATAGCAAAGCTTTTCTGCTTTGTCGTGTTTTGACAGGATATGACACAGACCTTACTTTTGCCAGGACAGGACCAAAAAAAGGAGTATTGCCTAGCAGAAGAAGAATGCATCAGAGTAATATTTTTAGCTGTTTACCAGGCACTGTTGAAAGTATAACTTGATGCCAGAAGTAAATTGAGCAATTGGTGTTATTCACTGAACTTCATGACTGCACTTAGCAGCAGCATCTAATTCAGGACCGTACTTCAGCATTATGTGTGCATATGCTGGATTGCTTAACAACATTTTCCTAACACAGCCAAGCTTTGCATCTTGATTATGTGGCTAGCAGTATATGCAGCAACATAAAGTCTGGCTTTCTCTTTCTTTTAGGGAGGGCTTTTTACCCCTAAATCGATTATTATTTTCCTCTCTGAGTTTTCCCTATTCAGTTATTGACATAGGAGGGGCATAGAGGCTCGTTAAACAGTCTCTTAGAGCCGTCCCTCTAACCTGTTTGGTGATTATTCCTTTTCCCATCAGTAGCTTGATGGAGCATGCATGACTGTATACAAACATATGCATTGTGTTTGCATATAATTCATGAGTATGGACACATGTGTAATCCACTGCCCAATAGCCTGTGATTTTAAAGGAACAGGTGTTTGAAATAATATAGTGTGTTCTGGATACTGTGTTCCTTTTGACATCCCGTACCAATCAGAGGCATAAATAGACAGAATCAAAGGTAAGTAGAAAATTTATATAGAGAAAGAGGGCTTTGGAACAAAGAGTCCCTTTATGTTAACCACAACTGATGCTTCATTACAGGACTTTCTAAACAGCCTGTGGGTTAAATACCATCAAGCACAGTACATGCCAAGTGTTTATTGTATAACCAATGCTCTGACAAAAGTGTGCTCATTGTTTGCATTGCATGCATTGCTTAGTACTGTATCACATTGTTTCAGAATTGTATGGTCTCAGGCTTTGGGGAATACTCACAGTATTTTCTTTTCTATGTTTTATACAACACTGAACATGTCTTTAATTAACAGTTCTTCAGTGTTAAAACCCATCTGTATGATTTTAATCCTAGGCAAAAAGAGAGCAAAATTTAATTTTGTGTTTGGAGGATCAATTTGCATTTACGGCATTTATGTAGATTTTCAGGAAGATGCAATTGTTTTAATTGTTTATTAGAACACAACAATGTGTATAATAGTCTTTATACTGAAGTGTCCCTTCAGTCCAACTCCTCATTCTAAAACCCTTATCGTATATTGCTCGCATACAAGTGCTTCTAAAACTCTGATACAATGTTTCATTGTAAATGTTAACTATAAATTCTGGGTTGCAAATATGCAGTTGCATGTTTTTGATTCTCTGCTTCTCTCTTCCATGTTCTTCAATGTGGGAGGTTGAATAAAACTCAAATCGGATATTACAAAAGGCAAGATTCTTGCAAGTAACAAGAGATGGTCTGCCTTTTAATAATTAAGCAGAATTCATGTCCTCCTGCACTTTATGCTCTTCTGGTTTGAAAAATGCATAGAAATGTTAGAGTCTGATGTGACTGCTTGCACAGGCTGTGAAGAAGTGATGAGATAGGAATATGAGAGTTAAATTTTGGAATTGGGCCACTTGATTCTGTGGTGTTCGTGACCTCCATTGGCAACAAGCTTATGAAATGCGTAATCTGGGTGGGGTGAGGATGTTGATCCTGAAAGGGGATCAAACAAATTTCCTTTCTTAGGCACGTATGTGGAAGAGAATTTCATTTTGCCATGGCACATTTTAGATACACCAATATGTGAATGTTTAGAAGGCTACCTGTGCTTTCTTGGTTGCAGAAAATAACAATTTACTGCAACTGTGAGGTCCACAAGGTGCTGTGGTTAGCGCATTTCATGAAGTTAGTCCTGCTTAGCACCTGATGGTGGTATAGTCCTTGTCCTGTCTCTTACCCTGAGCATAGAGACGCTCTTTCAGGGAAATGCCCACAGAACCTTAACCATTCTAGGGGCCTTACAGAGTCTTGTAAGCAAATGAAATAATAACAAAAAGAAACCTACTGTTAGCGGAAGATAGTTTCTTTCCCTTAAAAAAATCAGTGCAGCAGCTTCAGGCAAATCGCTGGCATCAAGTTTTGGAGGTCTTGCTCATTTTTCACTCAGACTGTCTGCAGTCATGGAAACTCTTTGTCATCAGTTACATCACTCTTTGGGAGCTGTACATGAAATTAGAAGTTTGTTGCTCTATTTAGTTGGGTTGTACTTGAGCTTTATGCTATTTTTGCTCATCTTGACCTTACCCATTTCTTTCTTTTAGTTCTCTACATTCTTATATTTTTTTAATAATTTGTTAGAGGCATAAAAATTAGTCATAAAACTAGTGGATTGTCAAGGTGAGGGGGCAGTCAGAGAAGACAAAGCCATGGGTGAAGAACAAAAAAAATGTTCCTATATCTGTATTCACAGAAGAGCTTGGAAAGGTTCCTGAACTGTTTTTTACAGAGCAGAAAGAGTTTTCTCAGTGCAAATCCCAATTTGTGAGCAAGAGAAGGTGTTACAAAATGAATCATGAGAACAACATGGTATTCACTCAACGGTTTTAAAGGAACTTGGAAATTAAGTCAGTGAGCAAATGATTGCTCTAACTGGCAATATCCTGCTTAAAAGTGGTTTTTGTGAGAGGCTTGGTTGGTAGGGAACGAATTTTAATCCTTGATATTCCCCTTGATTCACATTTAATCTGCTTGACTCTTCTGCTGGGTGAATCAATAGAAATTATAATTGAGAATACTATTACTGGATATGTAGATAAGTATAATAAGCTGGGGGAGACTGAAGATTGTGTTTGTAAAGGAGAAGTATGCCTCTGCTGGAGTTCTTTCGAAGCATCAATGATCATGCAAACGAGAATATTTAAAGAGAAAAATTAACTTACCTGTTAAAATTCAGTGTTCCTTGAATAATTGTAGACGATGTTGCTACATGGGAGATGTATTTAGAGTTGGGATGTGTAGGATAGTCAATACCCATGAATTTATAGGTGCTAGTTTCTTTGTGGTGACATAATAGAAATACAAAACTTTATAGTGGAACATGCATACTGGTTTGGGGGTTGGTGGGGTGTTTGGGTTTTTTTTGACTGTGAATAGGAATACAATGTTTTGATTTTTTTATAGGACCTCAAACTTCTTATTTAGCTTAATTGCTGCCTTATTAACTGTATCAATTCAAGAAAGCTTGAGAAGTATTTCGGTACTTTCTATGTTGTAAGGCACTATGAAATAAATAATGGTATTGATGTAATATTGACTTGTTTATGCTTTTTAAATAAACATTGCTGTGAGTAGGCTTCAAAGCTTGTTTTAGTTACAGTGTTCACAGGTTGCAGAAGGACTATTTGGTTTACTTGCTGTTGATATTTTTTAAAGTAAACTTTGCAGCCAAGACCTATATAACTATTTAAAAATCATTTATAATTATGCCGCTGCAGAATGGTACTGGTGGTAGGTGTATTTGTGGAACTAATGTTTTCTGAATGTACTTTTTTCTGTAAATATATTTTGAAATGTCCTATAAATGTCAGTAAAAACAGGGTAAAAAATAGTAGCTTTGGGTTTATCTTATACCCCATTATTTTGATCACTCTGTTAATTTATAATGAGAAAATACTACTTTCAATTAAAGTACTCTTTTAATAAAAAAGTACTACTTTTAGATTCTCATAGACATAATTGTTTCACATGATTTTTTAATTTTTTTTTTTTTAGGAAACTCTGAGCTGAAAGATAAAGAGGACCAGTTTGGAAGAACTCCACTTATGTACTGCGTATTGGCTGACAGGCTGGACTGTGCAGAGGCATTGCTGAAGGCTGGAGCCGATGTTAATAGAGCAGATCGTAGCCGAAGAACTGCTCTCCATCTTGCTGCACAAAAGGTAATTACATTAAAAGTGCTCTGCTGTTGCATAAACTTGCGGCATTCACAACAGGTATAAAGGAGATTTTATTGTATTGAGTAAGCATGTTGTATCTTTAGAAACTTGCACTATTTTAGAGGCAAATAATGCTATGAGTTTTTTAAAAACTTGGCCCATCCCAAAGTAAGACTTTGGAGAGTTATTTTTTATTTTTTAATGTTTTTACTCAGTGTATTTGTAGCTGTCTGCAGAAACAGTATAATTCATTGCTGGTTTAAGATGTACTTTCTAGGAAAAATAGTCCTTGTCTATTTTGGGATAGCCAGTTCTAAGTAAAGACTAAATTTTATACACTCTGATACCCCTTAGGACGTTACCATTAATTTCAGTGGATGTAAGGCCATATACTGCTAACTAGTAATGCCGTGTCTGAGAATTTCAAGGATATGGAATACCAAATCATTTCCAGAACTAGGAGGGAAATGCATTACTGTCTGTTTTTTCTTCTACACTTTCAGTCTATAATGTTGTCCAATGATGTTGTCCCACTGAAGAGGTGCTAAAGGAGGTATTCAACAATAGAATAAAAAGTAGTTTAAAGTGTAACTTCAGAGCTGACATAAATTTTGAGTGTGTGTAGAGCTGGGGGAAGTGTCTACAGTTACAGGAGAATGAGCAAACTGCTGACAGGAGAAGAAGGAAAAAAAAAAAGGTGGGTTGGCTAGCTAACCAAGAAGGTTGAGTTCATAAACTATGAAAAAGACTCCACAGAGAAGATTAAAAACTCAAACTGAAAGGAACAGCTTTTTATTACTATTTTACCTTTTATAGTATGTTTAAAACTGTAACTGCTCAAGAGTTAAAGTTGTTTTGGCTATCTAAGCTGTGTCTTTTGTACCAGTTAGAGTGCCTGCCATGATTCTTGTAGCAAACCATTTCTATTTATTAGATAACTTGTCCCCTGTTCATAATCTTTCACATTGTTCAGATGTTTTATATACTTTTTAATGTACTTTGTGTTTTATTTTGTTTTATTTAATTAGGTTTACATTAAGATAGCTCTAGTATGGTCACAGTATTTAGTAAGGAGGGATATATGCAACTGAATAGAGAACCATTTGGGAAGATTATAAGATAACATTGTTCAATTGCACTTGCTTGGGAGTCCAGAAGGACTGCGTGGTCTGTGCTACTGCATCCCTTATTGGGAATTAAGTGTTCATTTAATATTTTAAATTTACGAATTCCTTACGTAAAAATGTTAACTATTAAAAACTAGCGTGAATGCATTCTTGAAATGTGTACAGTAATGCACTACATTACTTGACTACTATTGTAATTAGTTACAGTAGGTTATAGCTGAGTTATTAATTCATCTGTTTGTTTACATACCACAACACCCTGATGAAATATTTCAGTCGTCATCATAACCTTGTCTCTAGTGTACCAGGGTTAACTCCATATTTCTAAGTGACCAGCTTACTCTGAATGTTGTTGTTTCAAAGATAGGTATTTCATAAACTAACAATGTCAGAGACTTAAAAAATTGCTGTAAGATACTATACTTGCTTGGTGTTCATATAGGCTTTAGATTTTATGACCTGATAGGCACATGAACATTTTAATCATATTAAAAACTTAATTCTAAAAATTACGTTTTCCCCAGTTTTTTAAAATACATTTTAGCATATTAAAACAACATAAATTCTTGTTTAAACCTCTGTCTGTGTCTTCATATTGTGGATATTTGTTCTGCAGCTATTCAAGGCAAGAGATATTTTGCCTTGGCATAATATCCATTAACTGCATGTGCTCTCCATTTCCCTTATGTCTTGCTGCAATCATGAAAGGGCAGTTTGTACCATGTGATACTTGGACCATCTTAGATGTGTTTTCAGTTGACACCGCAGTTGGAAAAAAAGGTACTGTCTTTACCTCATGCTGTTATAGCAGAAGATTTTATGCAGTCACCTACTTATTGTGTGATGTACTAGATAGATGTGATTCACCCCATAGCCACGTAAGTGCTTGTGCCATCATAGTGCTGGGGTAGCAAAAAGTGGTCAGGAGACAGCCCTTGCAGCTGCTTTGCATTTGGCTGATTGCTTAGCTGTCCTGTAAAACTGCATTCTGTGCCTTCTGAGCAGTTACTCACTATCGATGTCAGCTTACAAAATCAACATTTCATGTGTGTGAAATTTGTCTTCAGTGTTTCCTTATTAACATTTTAAGATATGAATTTCTATCATGAATACCTTCTGCAAAATATATAATTCAAAATTTAAACCAAGTTCATGTTCCATGCCGTTTTGGCTGTTTAAATAATGTTTTACATTCTTCTTACTCCTCTCTGATACTTTTGGTTTATGTTCTCCTCTAACGTAAGGGCTAATTTTTTTTTCCCCCCCAAAGTAAAAAAATTTTTCCTCTGTAACCAATACTGGAAGTTGACTTTCAGAGAGAAAAAGAAAAATGCTGTGAGATAACCCATTTCCAAAGTTTTATTGTCAGTGTTGGTTAATCATGAATCTATTTATTTACCAGGGCCACTTTATAGTTTTTTTGTGTTCAAGCTTGTGAGTCAGTCAGTCACTGTCCTGCACTTCTTCAGAACAGGTTTACATGACTTTCTAAATCTCTATTCATTTGTAGTCACAGAATGACAGTGCTTGGAGATTTCAGATTCCTAAATTGCACTTGAGTTACATCCTAATTTTCATTTTCTTTGGAGAGAGAAGTTAAGGTTAATGCAGAGACCTTTACATGCAACCAGTGAAGAGGCAGGAAAGGGAAGACATCTTTCCACACACATGTTCTCAGCTAAAGCAGATGGATGTAAAATGCAGTTAGGTTTCCTCAGTAGGAACCTTCCTCTCTAGGTACTAGAATTACTTTTGCCATTTTTTTGCAGTCTCTTGGGAGTGCTTTTGGAACACCTTACTCATCAGATTGCAGCAGACATCCTGAGGGCTAGAGCTGGTTGCCAGAATATTTGAGTCTCTTTAGGTTATCATTCTACAGGCTTCCTTTACATGTCTGTTACAGGTGTTCATCTGAAACAGTCTTGCAGTTGATTTGACAAAAAATGGTCTCTGCTCTATTTGGGAGCGACAGAACTGTCTCAGAGGCAAAGAGTTAGTGAGAAGATACTCTTTTAATGCCAAACAGAAAGAATGATTTAGCCATCTTGGACAGAAGGAATCTGAATGTCTTCCTTCATGTGTTTAGTTTCAAGATGGTGACTCTCCCATTAGTAATCCTGGTTATTGAAAGAAAAATTGCTTTCATTCTCTGCATGATGCTTTTTGCCATTTGTCTGTCAGAGAATCTTGCAATACTTCTTTCTCTCGGTATCAGCTAAAACTACAGCCAATGTAAGGTTCTTTCCTTTCTTTTCTCTCCAGCATCAAATAACTGTGCTAATGTATTGGTAGAAATGCCTGCTCACTTGAGATGAAGCTATTCCTGTCTTTCTGTCTGGAGACTTCACTGAACAACTAGCTAACTAAAAGGACTGCCAGTTCATGTCTTTGGGTCCTAGTAAAATGTTTGCATGGGGTTTTTTTTTATCCCTGTTATAGAACAAACATTCAGAAATGTGGCATAGCCCTGAATTCAATCATAAATCATTAGTAATAAGAAAAATGAATTAGGACTCTTAATTGTCTTTCTTCTCTAGGATGGATTTCTGGTTGGATAGGACTTAAATGAACAGCTGTAACATCATTCCATTAACACTTACATAACTAGCTTCTAACTATACCTGCATGATTTACACACCTGCCTATAACTGGTGAGTGTGTATACATATACATATGTACATACCAGCTCTCTGTTATATTTTAGGTTTATTTTTAACTTCCACCTTTCTGCAAGTTTTATACGTCCAGCTATTGTCTGCAGAGGAACGGACAACTTTTGCTCCTCGTCATGTTTGTTATTACTGTTGCATAAGGATTTTACTTAGTAAAAGCATTTCTTTCAGTCTTCCAAAATGCTAGCAGTTGCATCCAGTGATCAAAATTCAAATTCTCATTAGTTGATAATACAGAGATTCTTCCTAAATTACAGGTAAAAATTACAGAATTACCCATATGGCCACACAAAACATTATCCAATATGATAGAGAGCCTCACAGTACTTCCTTAATCCTTCATCTTTTCCTAATGGCATTTCTAGCTCCTTTTTAAATAGTTACTCTATTATTTGCAGTTATGTAGGTGATCTCTTCCTAGGTATTCTGGTGCACTCAAGTGCTTTTGCTTCTTGTCCCACCAGTGTCCTAGAAGACATCTTTCAGAACAGTGAGTTGTCAAAAATAGCTCTGTTTTGCTTTGGGTATCAATAAACAGTATCAAAATTTCTGCAGTTGGTATAAATGCTGTTCATAGTCTCTATCAAAAATATTTCTGATAGTATAGCTAGGCATACTGACCCATGCTATTCCATGTTCTTTCAGTTCCAAGCTAAAAAGCGAAGGTGATATGATGGTTTCAGTAACCCTGTCTAATACAGTTTTAATATCTAGGTCATCTTTACCAATTAATGAGGAAACTGAGGTCTCAGAACTCAAAGTCGCTATGTCATCCTTGTCTTGCTGTGATTTGTCCAAATGGCTTTTGTCACTGGAGCATCTCTATAAAGCAATAGTTACCTGGAAAGATGTATCAGCTTCTCAACAAAGGGTTCTTGCAATGTCTCTGTCTCAGACTACATTAATGTCATTCTGGAAGTAAGAGGTGGGATATTCTCTTACTTATTGGTCTGCCTAGCCACCTTTCTTTGATAGCAGATTAAGTGTAAGTGTTCTCACACCTGAAGTTAATAAGGTAGGCTCAGAAATTTCAGCTGTTAATACTACTTGAAATAGCAATGCTTTTTGAAAACAACTGTGGTTATACATTGATATGATAACCTTTGCTGAGTGGTTGCTTAATGATAATAATTATGTTCTTAATGATAAGTCTTCCATTTGGTGATAGACATCCTTTGTATTACAGCTTTTAAACTTTACACAT